CGTCCAGAAAAGATTAGCAACAGGGATCTCTGGCAATCAGTGAACCAACCAACCAATTAGCAACAAATATGCAGGAAGAAATGGAGTTAGGCGGATTGACCAGAATCTAAGAAAACAAACTATCAATAAATATCCATCACACGCCAGACCATCACTCCAGTAGAACCCGAATGGGAAGCATCGAGTTACTTGGTCGTCAGTGTGAGGGTGACATGGAGGAGGGGGTCATGTGAAGACCGGATGATGAAAGCATGTGGTCAGACATGGAGGCAGGTGAAAACGTTGTCACAGAACCGAACGCAGTGGAGACTTGTGGCTGAAGCCCAAAGGAAACAATAATAATAATTGCTCACTGCACGCAGTGGTATGCCAACAGCCCGAGAGGTATTTGAGAAGAGAAGAGGAGGTTGTCCCTAAGGTTCTAGGTGGAATACAGGGCTCCAAAAGGTTATGTCCATTTAATCCTGTTCCCTGCAGTCCACTCTAGTTGGCTCCATGATTGCCTATAGACTATCACCCCTTAGTAAAACTCGCTGAGCGCGTCGGTTGTTCCCATTCGAGTTCCACTTGAGGACCTGATGCATGAAGTCAACTAACACAGTGTCATCAGATTATGTTCAAGTAATTTCCAGTTCCTTATGCATCAGATAGACGAACCTGCATCCCCAGTGATGGTGTTCACATGTTGAAAAGAGACCGAGCATTCCCATCGAATATAACCAATCGATGGAAGATGAAAATTAATTTGAACAAATAAAAGCTGTTGCCCCCTTTGTACAGAATGTAAGTCTTGTAGTCCAGTGGTCCAGCAAACAAAACTTTGCCATTTGACTTCGATTCTCAGTGCCAAAACCATCATACTAGTATTAGTAGTAGCGGAAGTCTTAGCGTTGTTCAAATCTACTGTTTTCATTTCACTGTGCGATATGCTTTCTCAAAATCATAACTATATACAATAGTACAGCTAGACAATATACCGCTTGAAATGCGCCTTTCTGCTGAATGTTGTGTTCTGAAATAAGTCTCTCCATGTTATTGTTAGCTTGTTATGAGTTGACGTGTTTTATTTGGTTACCTGGAAGCTTCTCGTAGCTTCTTGTGTATTTCATCTGAGCGTTACAAGCCTGAGTTAATGACTTGACAGGATCATTGGTAGAGAGGTAAATACAGACCTGCAGATTAGAGTGGAATTGACATTATAAGAATTCAGATAGCGTCCAACTGATATCATTAGTCTTCATCTGAGCTGAACAATCATCTAGGATTATTAAGCCCACAAACAGATGACGAGTCCCAGTTAGGAAGAAACGTGTGTCCTGAATTCCATCGCTAGGCATCACAAACTAAATAACATCATTGTTGAAAGCGTGTCAAACATTTAGCTGATACATTTCTTTGCTTGCTTCCGAAGTTATAGTACAGAAATTCGACGAAGCTTACAAGTTCAAACAAACCTCTTTCATGTGTTACCAAGCGACTGGAATAAACTAAAAAAGCTTTAGGCAGTGAATAATCGAACAGTTAATCTTTCATATAAATACATTTTTACATAGTCGTTGCTATTCTTAACTGATATTTGTCACAGAAAAGTAAATGACATAACCTAGTGGCACATGAGTTCGTATTTCAGGGCGAGTACACACATCACACATTGAAGAATACAGGTATGTCCAGTTGACAAGCTCCAAATAGGAGCAAAAATGTGCATCATGGATTCCAGTGTTAGTCACCATACACAAAATAACATCATTGTTGAAGAGCATTCATTCTCTGATATAAGAACAAAACTTGTGCATTATGGTAGAGTGTAATTCCATTATGGGTAAATTTTGTTTTAATAAAGTCTCACAGTGTTATACAGTAATGTTTACTGATGACGTTTCGAGCACAATTTATTGCTCATAATCATATCAAGGTAATCACACGACTTCCTAAATTCATTTATATAGTTCCATTGTTTTTCACTTGATTTTCACTTGATTTGATTGGTAGTAATATTTTCCATATTTCGGGTATAAGTGATGAATCATTCCTGTTGCATGTGTTGGGTGTAGATTCGATGAACCAGGATTCAGTAATCCACCTCTCTCTCCATCTACCTAGATTACTTTTTAGAATTTTAACCCTCTGTAGGTTGACCCAATTAGACAAAATAATATAATTTCCAAATTACCCTGCAATGACTATGAGTTAGGTCAGCTACATAGGTCAAACTAGTAGGTCAGAGGTAGTCAGATTGTCAGAACATAAGAATTTAGCTAAGGTAAGAATGATTGACCCCGAAAAGAAAAATAATTTAGAAAAAAGCTCAGCACTACATTGCAATGCATGCATTCACACACAACCACACAATAGCATGGTGCGAGAGGGTTAAAATTCTAAAAAGTAATCTAGGTAGGTGGAGATAGAGAGAGGTTGATTACTGAATCCTTGTTCATCGAATCTACACCCAACACATGCAATAGGAATGAATCATCACTCATACCTGAAATATGGAAAATAATACTACCAATCAAATCAAGTGAAAAACAATGGAACTATATAAATGAATTTAGGAAGTCGTGTGATTACCTTGATATGATTATGAGCAATAAATTGTGCTCGAAACGTCATCAGTAGACATTACTGTATAACACTGTGAGACTTTATCAAACCAAAATTACCCATAATGGAATTAAACTCTACCACAATGCACCACCACAATGTGTGCGTCGGTGGCACAGTGGTTAGGACTCTCGCCGACCATGCACATGGTCCGGGGTCCGATCCCCTGCCGGCGCACACCCGATATCTATGGTCGGCCTGAATTTGGGCTACCGATATCCATGCTGAAAATTCCATACTTGTACTGAATATACGGTGTGGAATCAAGCTGTAAATAAAAATTAAAAAATTAAATTAAATGACGTATTGAATAATCAGAATACTTTCGGAAGTTTTAGGCCGTTAATAATTCAATCAATAATGTAAGTGTAGAACTTAGGCACTGTGGTAGAGTTAAAATCAATATTAGAAGAGTTTATTTCAAATATTACACACTGGATGACAAGGCTTCGAGGTCCTGTCGGTTTACTGGAGCGAAATGTTTAGGATAGTATCACGGTTTCATCCGGAACATCAGCATTCACTGAGGATTATGGGTAAGTCGAAATGACAAATCCTAAGTAGGATGAAATACGCGTCCCGGATTCCACTGTTAGTTTCCATCTACGAAATGACACTAAATATAACTATGTTATCAACAATAAGCAGTTTACTTCACGAAATCCCATGATTATAAAGTTCATCATTATTTCTGATTGAACACTAGTCAGTGAATAACTGCAGACTGAATTCTATCAGTCAAGTTTGCAGTCTGGCGACCATGCCACTAGGTGGCTCGCCACCATCATAGTGCACTTTGAACTGTTGATATTAGGGTGGTTGGAGGCAATCGACCACAGGAAGCCTTTCTTGACCTAGGTTTCTTGCTAGTTGCCACTCACCAGTCAGCAAGGCTTATATAAAACCACCTTGAAAGAACTTATGTCTCTTCTGTGATTCTAACATCAAACATAGGACTAGACACATTACAATAATTACTGACTAGTGTCCATTCAAAAATATCCAATACAGTAGGCCTACAGGAGGTCAATCGTGAGCCCGAATAGCTGGCTCAGTGGTAACGTCTCTGACTGCAGCACTCAGTTAGTGACACAGTTTCGAATCTCAGACGGAATATGAGTTCCTTTAAAGGTTGCAGATACTCCTTCCCCTACCTGGTGAGTACCAACTAGCACGAAACCTAAGTCTAGCAAGGCTTCCTGTGGCCGACTGCCTCCAACCATCTAATACCAACAAACTTCATTATTAACTTTCAAAGATTGTTTTCCATGGATTTTCTAAACCTAATATTCCTTCATTTTTATATTCTAATGATGTATAGATACGAATCAAAGTGGTGACTGGTTTCGGTGGACGTGATGTTCAATTAGAAATACCCTTTATCTTGTGCCACCCACGTAAAGAACAAGAAGTAGTGAAAGCTGAAGCCGCAGCCAATGATTTAGTCATTGAAAAGTTTAAACGACCAAAAGCAAAACGTTTAGCATCCGAAGACGTCGACAGTAATTGATCCATGATCTTCAGTCCGTTTATATACATACATACATACATACGCACATATATGCACTTAAGTCATTTTAGTAAGCGATAAAAAAAATTTGAAATCTGTCGACATTATATCATTGTAAAGGCATAACACAATTTGAAGCATTAATTTGTCAACTACTCATGAGTAGACGAAATAATTTATCATAAAATAATTAATAATTTATCTGTTATTTTAATCCAGTTTTCAAATATAATGTGTATTTGAAAACAAAATATATTGTTCTACTTGTATAAATAACTTTGATAAGCCCCAAAGTACTGAATTAAAGCAAACTTATAAAGATTGATGAGCTAAAATGAGAAGTGTTCAATACTTTTTGAATGATTTTGACATGGTTGTGTTCTCTGAGCTGAATAATTAATTTGAGAAGCTTTCGTTGCACTACTAGGCAACATCTTCAATTAGAAATGAGCTTTTAGATTGCTCCACGAGTTTATTAGTCAGTCATCTCTCCCGGTGACTTTGGACGTGATTGGTTGTTTTTGTGTGTTTTCATACCCTCTAGGCTACTTCTATTGGAACTGATTGTTTCTTTGACTTGAACTTTGACCCTTCGTATGTGAGGTTTCCTTCTTATCAGTTGGTAAATTTTGTCTATCTCGATGTGTCTATTGATTAATGATTCACTGCAATGCCAAGCTTCTAAAAATTCTCTAGCATTCTTGGTATTTCATCTGTCTAATATTTGAATGTTGTCCCAGTTGAACTGATGTCCGTGGTTGTCTGTATGTAGTGATATGAGGGAGTGGATGTCATGTCTTTTGATGGCTCGTTTATGTTAATGGATATGAAGACGAAGGAGACGTCCACTTTGGCCAATGTATTGTTTTTCGCAGTCATCGCAACTAATTTTGTAGATGATGTTGATTTTATCTTCTTTCGTTGTTGAGTCTTTTGGTTGACACAGGGCTGGCTGAGTGAAGTTATTTTGTTGGTTTGTGTGCACCGTCAATTCCAAAGGGTTTGTAGAGTTTTGCAGTGATTTCTGAGATGTCCTTTATATGTGGTAGAGCGATCTTCTTTGTGCTTTCCTTGGGGGCTTTTGTTTTGATAGGTTGCCTTGGGGTATATGTCTTTTGATGAAATTCCGTGGATATCCATTCCTTTGGAAGACGTCCTTGAGATATCTTTCTTCAATTTTCCTTAAGGTGGGAGTGCTGCAATCAGTCCTGGTCCTGTTAAATAGTGTTTGTTGCTGTTGTAATTCAGTATTTGATCTGTGTGAGTTGATTTTCTATAAACTTAAGCTTCTAATTCCCCTGTGGTTGTTCGCTTGACTAAGACGTCCAGAAATGGGATTTCGTTCTCGGATTCCTCTTCTTTCGTGAATTTGATGTCGTTGAAGACGCTGTTTATTAAGTTGTGAGTTTTATCCAGCTCGTTACTTTTGATTACTACAAATGTGTCGTCTACGTAACGTATCCAAATCTTGGGTTTGATTTTTGGTAGGATTTATGTTTTCGAGCCTTTGCATCACTGCTTCTGCAGTCAAACCTGATATTGACAATCCCATAGGTGTTCTCTTTGACTTGTTCATTTATTTGGCCGTTGAATTTCGAAATCTTCTCCATCACCTTTTGAAGGATTTGTAGTTCAGTACTTATTACACCACTTTTATTTATTATTGTTCGATTGGGTTCTAAGTGGAAGATAGGGCTTCAACAACACATCTCCATTTCGCTGTGTTCTCTACGGTCCCCATCACTTGGTTCCATTGTTGTTCATAGGCTTTCATCTCTACCACATGTCACCCTCGGATGCCACACTTGTCATTTCCGATTCAGGTCGCACACGAGCGATGTAATTCGACGGGCTCTTCAGTATACGGCCTGTTTATCTCCATTCACTCAGAATATATATTTAGAAAGAGGTTCTTAGTTGGTTTGCTGGCCACCAGATTTTCTTGTTCCTAATTCTCTCCGGCTGACCACTTGATCTTCAGCATGGAGTGACAGCGAAGATTTTTTCATTCCTTCACGTTCCCAGTGGAACATAGGGCTTCAAGCTATAGGCTTGGAGTTTCTGTAGCAGTGTTTATTTTTACAGGATGGGGTTGCTACCCTCATGTCCAAAATTTCCTCTTTACCAGCTTTTTTTACCGGTTAGGAGACGTAAAGGAGTGTGTCGGCCAGGGATCGAACCTCGAACCACTTGCGTGGTTGGCGAGCATTCTACCACTGTGCCAGCAAAGGTAGTAGTTGATAAGAGTCTACAACCTGTTGAAAATGCGCAGGACACCTAGGCGTTCGAAGTGAATACAAGAGTAAGACAAGATTGGCTACCTGTTATGACGGATGACATTCCTAATTGTGGTGCATTCGATTATGCGTCAGATTGTGACTCAGGAGTGAGAAGACAGGAATATATTGACCCTATAATAAAACTCCAGAAGATCTGGATTTCGCGCGTGGATGATTTATGTTTAATATCACAC